GACAAAACCTTGTCGAAACGTTGTACATTTGCTGTTATATTAAAGTTTTTCTTCATTTACCCATTCAAGTCGTCTCCAGCCATTATTAGTCTCAAAGTGGGTTCCTCGTCATCGAATTTACATTGTTGTTGGTTAGCATGTGATACTTTGTGGTCTTTCAGTAAAATATAGTCGTGTTTATTTTATCGTATGTACTTGGGTTTATCCCGTATAAAGTCATCAAGAAGTGAGATAATCATGAGGAAGATTTTCTTTAGGTTTACCTAATTATTCCACGCATGTTCAGTCTGATCCGGTTACTTGACCGGCTGTTAAGTACAAACTTTAATAAACAGGTATTACATCATAAGTATTATGTAATACTTTGTTATATAATTAATTGCTCTGTAATACTATTAAAATATTAAATTATACATGTATTACTTCTATAATTCGTATTTCTTACCACTAGATGGCAAGGAAATAGCATGTTATTCAGGGTTTAAAACATAAAGTATAATAAAAGTCTAGTTTAATTTTCTTTCTTTCCAAGCCTGCATCCAAACTTATTATTTTCTTGTTATTTTATTACGTCTTCAAGTTTTTTCCCCATAAGTACTCCAATTGTAGGTCGACTAGTTCACTAACGAATTTGTTCACTGCGCAAGTCAGTAAACACTTCAAACATCTGTACTGTCAGCAGGCTGTCTATATCACATTTACTTTTCTCTGCGTTTTACATATTTTTCCAAACAGTCCACCGAGAAAGGTTTGCTGATTCAAAAACTTGCCACTAGGAGTACCTGTTTTTTCTGATGGAAGATTAGTTTGAGGAGCATGAACTGCCCCAACAGACCCGATCTGTGATGATGAGTCTTTACTACTAGCGTTTAATGAAGACGTGTGAAAGGAGACTGACTGTAAAAGAATAATAACAAAAGTAGAGTAACAACAGATAAAAATTATAACAGACACCACAAAATAAGGGAGGTCTACTTGTCATATAGGCCCGAGTTGTCGATTTCTTTGTTTAACAAACATAAAATAACATCATTTTTCATACATATATTGTCTACCTTATTTCACGATTGCAGTAGTATTGAAGTGTTTCTCGGTCTAACGTTAACACATTTACACGTATCTAAGATACACTATCTAATTGTTGGTTGTACACGTATCTAAAATATTCTATCTAATTGTTGGTTGTACACGTATCTAAAATATTCTATCTAGTTCTTGGTTGTACACGTATCTAAATAAAGATATTCTATCTAATTGTTGGTTATACACGTATCTAAAATATTCTATCTAATTGTTGGTTATACACGTATCTAAAATATTCTATCTAATTGTACACAAACAACTTTAGATTGAATATCATAACTACACACAAACCTCTTCGACCAGACTTTTTCATCTCTGTAAACAAACAACTTTAGATTTAATATCCTAACTACACAAAAACCTCTTCGACCAGACTTCTTCATCTCTGGAAACAGACAACTTTAGATTGAATATCCTAACTACACACAAACCTCTTCGACCAGACTTTTTCATCTCTGTAAACAAACAACTTTAGATTTAATATCCTAACTACACACAAACCTCTTCGACCAGACTTCTTCATCTCTGGAAACAAACAACTTTAGATTGAATATCCTAACTACACAAAAGCCTCTTCGACCAGACTTCTTCATCTCTGGAAACAAACAACTTTAGATTGAATATCCTAACTACACACAAACCTCTTCGACCAGACTTCTTCATCTCTGGAAACAAAGAACTTCAGATTGAATATCCTAACTACACACATATATGCAGGTCAGAATAATATCAAATTATGTATTTTGCGTGTTAAGCGTCAGTTTCAAATACTCTACTTTACAAGAGTTTTTTTCTTAAGGATTTTAGCACCGATTTTCAAACTACATTTCGCACAGAAAGTTAGGTAAACACTTGGATTTTACTTCAGAAATATCACATACATGTACATTAATAAATAGTTATAAATGCAGGTAACAACAACTAACACTTTATCAAGACAATTAACATCAATCAGAATAATTGACAGAAGGACAGATAGCTACCATTAGTCATCACACGATAACACAGTTAAAACTAATCAGAATGTTCTGGGGATATTTAACACCAGTTATCAGATGGACAGATAGCTACCATTAGTCATCACACGATAACACAGTTAACACTAATTAGAATGTTCTGGTGATGACTAACACCAGTTATCAGATGGACAGATAGCTACCATTAGTCAAACACACGATAACACAGTTAACACTAATCAGAATGTTCTGGGGATATCTAACACCAGTTATCAGATGGCCAGATAGCTACCATTAGTCATCACACGATAACACAGTTAAAACTAATCAGAATGTTCTGGGGATATCTAACACCAGTTATCAGATGGACAGATAGCTACCATTAATCAAACACACGATAACACAGTTAAAACTAATCAGAATGTTCTGGGGATATCTAACACCAGTTACCAGAAAGACAGATAGCTACCAACAGTCAAACACACGATAACACAGTTAAAACTAATCAGAATGTTCTGGGGATATCTAACACCAGTTACCAGAAGGACAGATAGCTACCATTAGTCAAACACACGATAACACAGTTAAAACTAATCAGAATGTTCTGGTGATGACTAACACCAGTTATCAGATGGACAGATAGCTACCATTAGTCATCACACGATAACACAGTTAACACTAATTAGAATGTTCTGGTGATGACTAACACCAGTTATCAGATGGACAGATGGCTACCATTAGTCAAACACACGATAACACAGTTAAAACTAATCAGAATGTTCTGGGGATATCTAACACCAGTTATCAGATGGACAGATAGCTACCATTAGTCATCACACAATGAAACGGTTAACATTAGCCATAAGGGACAGGGTTACACATACAGTTAACCTCAGTTGTTATTGAGTTAAAAATAGATAACAGCACTTACTAGTCAGTTAAAATAATTTCACATCAGCTAATATTGGCTTAAAAACAATTAATATAAGCTGTTAGTGGGTGGGTTCATGTTGAAGTAGTAAATATAGGGTTAAAACAGTTAACGTAAATTATTAGTCGGTTAAGAACAGCTAATGTAAGTTATTAGCGGGATTAAACAGTGTTAGCATCTGTTATGAGTGAGTTCAAATGAATTAACAACAGTTATTAAAGAAGTACAAATATTTTACATTGATCATGGAGGTCAACTAAAGAAGTAGAATGTTTCAGGTTTAGAACTGATGAATATTAGTACACCACTTACTCCTCGATGTTTCTTTTCTACTACTATGCTTTTCACAGACTTCTGTTTCTCCTGTTCTGCCTCCAACCGCAAATTTTTCCATTTCACACATCTACAGGATATTAAATTCTCGTCAATCATTTTTAAATAAGTAAAAATAAAAAACATCACTAATCAAACTGTTGCTATCCTATTTATTAATTAATATAAGACAAAATATTCAAACGAATTATATATGGTTATTAACTCGTACAAAAGTTAGAGTGTTTCAAATCTAATTATTCTTACTTCTTCTGCCGTAAACTTGACGTTATAAAAATAAGTTTGAAATTTGTTCACGTGAAACTAGAACAAACTGAAAACAAAGTAACTTACTTCTATGATCGACTCCTTCAGATCATCTATAAACTTAGTACGGTCATGACTACTTCTGGCGTTAAATGTCAGTAAGACTTTTTTGTCAACCTTTTGTGCAAGCCTTATTCCATAGAGATAATCTGTGATAAAAGAATCACCATTTGTATATTGCTGACATATTAATAAAATTTAACTAACATACAATATTATTTAAAAACATTTTACCATTATATGTTAAAGATTTAAACAGCAATCAAAAACTTATAAAAATATATTGACATTCTTTCATTTTTGACAATGTTATATGAATGAACAAGAATCAACGTGCACAATGCTAAAAAAACTTTTAGGAAATCTTTTATACGTGAATTACTAAATGCAATAATATTTCATACATACATGTTTTACTGCAAAAACAACTTTAAAACTTCAAACATTTCTCGCAGTTCTAACATTACTGCACGAGAAACAATATTTGTTGCCTTGCTAAGTGCCAAGCCCACTGTAAGGTTCGAACTTAGAATTTTAGCATTATATGCTCTCAGGATTGCCGCTGAGCCACCGAAGATGCCATATTTAAAACCCAATATGTCTCACAGTCATATTTTAACATCGATGTTAATGATTCTGTATACAGCTTTCATTGGCTATGATAAAGTGATCTATAAAACACCTTTCAACAACGCTAACTTTACTGTATACATTGGATATGATAAAGTGATCTATAAAACAACACTTTTCAACAACACTAACTTTACTATATACATTGGCTATGATAGAGTGATCTATAAAACACCTTTCAACAACACTGACTTAACTGTATACATTGGCTATGATAAAGTGATCTATAAAACACTTTTCAACAACACTAACTTAACTGTATACATTGGCTATGATAAAGTGATCTATAAAACAACACTTTTCAACAACACTAACTTTACTATATACATTGGCTATGATAAAGTGATCTATAAAACACCTTTCAACAACACTGACTTAACTGTATACATTGGCTATGATAAAGAGATCTATAACACACCTTTCAACAACACTAACTTTACTGTATACAATGGCTATGATAAAGTGATCTATAACACACCTTTCAACAACACTGACTTAACTGTATACATTGGCTATGATAAAGTGATCTATAAAACACTTTTCAACAACACTAATTTTACTGTATACATTGGCTATGATAAAGTGATCTATAAAACACCTTTACTGTGATTTGCATACTCAAGAAGGATAAGAAAAAGGTCACAAGACACTTACGGGGCGTTTCGAAAAGGTCAAATGTCATTTCACACAAAGAAAAAAAATGCCTCAAAGTGTACGTGATAATGGATTTCTTCTTGCTCATGATTTTAGTAACCTTTAAGAGAAGAGTAAAAGCAATATTCAAATATTCTACAAAACTATAAAATCATTCATTCTAAAAGTAAGAAAATATCTTCAGAAAATGTCCAGGAAATCGTTGTAATTATGAGTCTTACCGTTACATAATGAGATAGAATAAAGTTAGTGAATAACGGTGAAACACTTTCACAGACATAGACATAATGAGACAGAACAAAGTCAGTAAATAACGGCGAAACATTGTCAAAGATAATAACGTGTAGACCTAGACATAATGAGACAGAACAAAGTCAGTAAATAATAGGTGAAACATTGTCACAGATAATAACGTGCAGAACTAGACATAATGAGACAGAACAAAGTCAGTAAATAATGGTGAAACATTGTCACAGATAATAACGTGTAGACCTAGACATAATGAGACAGAACAAAGTCAGTGAATAATGGTGAAACATTGTCACAGATAATAACGTGTAGACCTAGACATAATGAGACAGAACAAAGTCAGTAAATAATGGTGAAACATTGTCACAGATAATAACGTGTAAACCTAGACATAATGAGACAGAACAAAGTCAGTGAATAATGGTGAAACATT